TCGTCAGGCATAGCAGCGCGAAAGCGGGCCTCACTGGTCCTGAGGTGGGTGATGAGGTCAGCGACAGTGCTGAAGGAGGCCAGGTCGGGGAACAGGTATGGGAGGGTGAGGCGGCCTAGTGCGGCAGAGGCAGGTGAGGAGTAACGAGCAACGACAGCAGTGTACAGGTCCTTAGCAGTCTTGTGCTGGCCAAAGTGCTCGCGCTCATCTAGTGGCAGGGAGTTGCGAATAGCGAAGCGAGCGTGGGCGTCACGAGTCTGCCACTGTGAGCGCTGAGTGCTGTCTGCAGTGGTAGGAGGGGCAGTAGCGTGACCGAGGGCATGATCGTACAGCGAAATATCCTCCTTGGCAGTGAGCTGTAGGAAGAGGTGCAGGTCATCTAGCCAGGTGTCAAATTTCACTGGGCGGCCCTCAGCATCGAAAGCAAGTACGGGAGGACTGGCCATAGTGGCAGCAGTAGTTGCAGTAGGAACAGTAGTAGTAGCCGTAGAAGAAATAGGAGGAGCAGCAGTATCGACGGGGCTGCTGGTACGGGCGGCGCGGCTCGGTCTGACGGCGCGGCTCGGTTCAGGTAGGGCGGCGCGGCTCGGTTCGGTTGCGCGGAGCTGTTAAGCGGGGCTCGACGGGGCCGAGGGGCCGCTAAGCGGGGCGCAGGAGGGTCGCGGGGCCGTGAGGTGGCGGGCGACGGGGCCACGGGGCCGCTAAACGGGGTGCGCGCGGGGCCGCGGGGCCGCTAAACGGGGTGCGCGCGGGGTCGACGGGGCCAAGCGGGCCGGAATCGGGGCGCGCGCGGGTGCGACGGGGCCACTAAGGGGCAGCGTGCGGGGTCGACGGGGCCTTAAGGGGCCGTACACGAGGGCGCACGAGGGCGCTGAGGGGGAGGCGCTAACGCAGCACTCCGACAGTAGGTAGGAAGTAGGTAGTAGAGGTGGGCCCGGAAAAAAAACTTAGGTCCTAGCGAAGGACCTGCTCTGAAACCATGTCAGAATAACTGAACGAGGAATGAATGAACTAGCAGTGAAACGAGTACAAGTACCTAACCCTAGAATTGTGTACCCCCTATAGGCTAACCCACTGTAGCCTAAACAAGCACAACACATATAATGTTTGACACCCACACGCTGGGGTCGGGTAACCGACAAAAACTGATGGTGACCGAGTGGGCGGCTATAGTACGACCGAAGATTTCGGAGGCGAACTGCACCTGCAACTGCGGATTTTACGGGTTGTTTTCGAGCGACATTTTCGGAGTTCGACGAAGGACTTACCGGTTTTTACGGCGGGAAGCGCCGACCTTATCGAGGAATTTCATCGGGGTTTGGATAAACGCGCGCGACATTTACGTGGGGCAACAACGCGAGAACTACACGGATTTTCTCAGGGGTACGAACGACTTACGACGAACTGAAGAAGGCGGCAGCAACAGTGATGTCAGAATATTATGCTCTAGCCTGTAGTGGGGTGCTCTATAGCGAGTACAACCCTTCTAGGGTTTGCTATTTGTATCCCCATTCTTACTAGTGCAACCCCTCTTTGCCTAAACTTCTCTTGCCTAGCTAGGGTTCTCCTAGCTATGGCTCCTAACACTACATACTATTTTGACATGCTATCAGAGCAGGTCGATCCCTTTGGATCGATCCTGTGGGTGGGCTCACCACCTCGTTGCTTCCGCTGCAACTTCCGCTGCTACTCTATGTGCCGCACGCCCCGTGGCGTGCGGCAGTTTTTTCTTCCCGCCGTGCGCCCCGAGGCGCGCGGCGGTTTTCTGCCCGCCGTGCGCCCCGTGGCGCGCGGCGGTTCTCTGCCCGCTGTGCGCCCCGAGGCGCGCGGCGGGCTTCTGCCCCGTCACTCGACGCGTCGCCCCCGGGAGGCGTTGCGACGGGCGACGGGGACCCGCGCGTCGCCCCCCGTCGCCCGTCGTGGCCTGCGCGCGGCCCGTACAGCCGGCGCGCGGCCCGTACGGGCTGCGCCAGGCCTGCGCGCGGCCCGTACGGGCTGCGCCAGGCCCGCGCGCGGCCCGTACGGGAAGCGCCAGGCCCGCGCGCGGCTCGGGCCGCCTGCGCGCGGTTCGGGCGGCTATGCCAGGCCCGTGGGCGGCCCGTTCCTCGCTGCCCCTGCCCTCCCCACTGTCCCCCGTGCTTCTACTGGCGCCCCACCCCTCCTACAGCCCGTTCTCCTGAATTAGGGTTTGGGGGTGAGGGGTATGGGGGTGAAGCCACTGAGTGCCGTTCCCTGTTCCTCCTCCTCCTCCGTCTCCCTGTGCTGCAGCTGCCGCTGAGGGGGGGTGGACTTGTTGGAGCCGTTGGAGTGGTACTAAGGGGGGGTGAAGGGGGAGTGGAACTAGCAGTGTAGCAGCGGGTGTGTGTCAGGGGGAGTGGGATAGTTTGGGGAGGTTGAAGGGGGTGGCCGCCGTGAAGCCAGCAGCTCCAGTCGCCCGTGAGACCGTTGCGCCAGTCGCCCGTGAGCCCGTTGCGCCAGTCGCCCGTGAGCCCGTTGCTCCAGTCGCCCGTGAGTCCGTTGCTCGTCTGCCGCTACTTTCAGCCGCGGAGCCAGTTACTCCAGTAGCCCGTGTGCCAGTTGCTCCAGTTGCCAGTGTGCCAGTTGCTCCAGTTGCCCGTGTGCCAGTTGCTCCAGTTGCGCCGTGTGCCAGCAGCTTCAGCTGCCGCCCACTACCTCCTCTCCTCTCATAGTCTCTTTCCTCCTCCTCACTTGCCCGTTGTGACTACCACTAGCTTTGCTCATAATTGTGAACTTTAAACTATTGCTTCTTGAACTTGTGCTCAGAATGTGTGGTGACATTGTGATCCACCCTGAGCTTGTACTGCTTTGCTTGCTCTGCTGATTACACCCCACTTTGGCTATGGGGGTGTGTCAGAATATTATGCTCTAGCCTGTAGTGGGGTGCTCTATAGCGAGTACAACCCTTCTAGGGTTTGCTATTTGTATCCCCATTCTTACTAGTGCAACCCCTCTTTGCCTAAACTTCTCTTGCCTAGCTAGGGTTCTCCTAGCTATGGCTCCTAACACTACATACTATTTTGACAAGTGACGGGGGGAAGAGACAACTGCAAATTTTCATCCCTGCCCGCGAATTCTCGGCGGATTACGACAAAACTCTCGGAGATTTCATTCCAACTCTTCTGCCAACAACTCGCGATCGACCCGCCCACGACAAACAGATTCAATTTAAGCCACGTCAGGTGCTGCCAGCTGCAACTGCTGAAGATACTGCAGGATTTTGGCACGTGAAGACAGGACAGGTTCAGTTCGAGCAACGCCGGATTTTCAACGGAGTTTCTGGTCTACTTTCGCTGGTTCGCCCTTGAAACTTTTGGGGCACTTAACACTTGGTTTCTTCATGATTTTCCACACCGACGCGATTTCACCCGGCCTTTTCCGCTCACCGTTTCCTCAGTGGGATTTAACACCTGATTCTTGTTGTTTTCGTCTCGGAGCAGCTGCGAAAGTTTTTCTGTGGCTCATTTCTTGGAGGGGGGGAGAAAGTGCGCTGCACTGTTCTTTCCTTGGCGTTTTCTCGGCTTTCTTCTTGACCTTTATCAGGTTGCGTCAAGCACGACGGACGACCGCGATTACACCGACACGATCGACGGCTTCAGATTGATCGCGATTGAATTTCGCGTCAGTCTGTTCCCTCCAAAATCGCATCTGCTTCGACCGTCGGATCTACAGCAATCGCATCTACGGCCTACAATCCAACCTTTCAATTCATTGGGGCCAGTTCATCTTCATCCGTCAGATCTAAATCTTACAACATCAACGACCGACATTCCAACCTTTTCAAAAATATTGCCTGAGGCATTCCAGCCGTCGGATTCAGCTCCTGTGGAGATCTACGGCATCCTCGCTAGTGTGGGGCCTGTTTCGGTACAGGACCGCCTTATTTAGGAGGTGGGAGAGTGTAAGGATCCACAAATCCTTACTGAGGCACTCGTTAGCGAGGCCATCCCGAGGGCCACGCGACCAACTGGTTCGGCCTACAATTTCGCATCCCAACCTCACCGAGCCGCCTCCGCACCAATCGCGACACTTCGCGAGCCAACCTTACCACACCTCCCCCCCTAGCTAGGATTTCCCCTATTTAGGCCTCGCTACTTCATTGTTTCAACATTCTGTAATCAGTCATTCTCGTTATTCGATATCTGCGCACTCTGACAAGTTCATTCATAACAGATTTGGAAGGGTTCGAAGTTGGGACAGCCCAGGAAGGCGATCTGAAATGTGCACCGGCAAATTGATCAATTCTCGCCGCCAAACAAGAGGCAGAATTGACCATTGTAGACTCGATACCTAGGAGGCTCCATAGCGTAGAATATCGTAGCTCACTACCAGCACACTCAATCCCGCCCGTCCGTCCCGTTCGTCCTGTCCCTCCAGTCATTTCCGTCCTTCCCGTCACGCCGTTCACTCCTGTCCGATATAGCTGGTTCATAATTTACCGTCGCTCCCTCCCAATCGCGACTGCCTGCCTATCCCCTCTTCCCCTATCTCACGGCCGCCTACGAATTCCAAAAGGTCACTAACGACCGTTCATGTTGTGGGCGACGGTAGATTTCACATCGGACACGTGACGGGGAACCTTCGCTCCAGCTTTCGCTGCAGTTTTCTTCCGTAACGAAGGTTTCATTTCCGTCAAGCACTAAACCTAGTCCGAAATCGCTGAGAACCTGCTAGGCCTAGGCGACGATTACTAGTGCCTTTGCGACAGTCTCTCGCGCCTTCGCAACAGTCACTACTGGCTCGGGACTGTCTCGAAGTTTTCAAATGTTGATTTGGAAAACTAACTGTTATATATGTAACAAATGTCACACGGAACCGAGTCGCATATGGAGTAGGTCATTGTGGAACAGATAGGTTGGGAAAGTTGCCTCTCGCCAGATCCAATCAAGCACACAGCAACAAGCTGACTGGCTTGGAGAATCAACTGCCTCGCGGCTCGTTTGCAACTCGCTAACGTCAGCTGGACTTTTTCCGACGCAGGCATGGCGGGTCGAATTCGCGTGCTCAACGTGGTCGCAGCGGTGGCTATTGTGGTGATAGTGTACTATGTGGGTCGACCGCTGTACTGGGAGTTAGAGGCGAGGCTGCAGGAGTACCGCGAGGGCTTCTCGGACGCCACTCGCGCTGCCACCACGGCAACAGCAGCGCAGGGAGGAGCGATTCAGCCAGTCGGCAACGCGCGAGGTGCGGCATGGGGTTGCGAGGTTGCCAGGATGGTGTGCTCGCACTCGCGGCTCTTGCCGCCTGGGCTGCTCGCTCTCTCTTGTCCCACCCTCTCAAATGCCCTACCTAGTCTCCATCTCTACCATCTAAATTTCCGACCCAGCCCCACCCTCGCAAGTCCCGCTACTGCAGTCGGAGGCGCGCCCAAGGAAGCATCTGCTCCGCTCCTGGCTCTTGACACTGGCGCTGCACACTCCATCTAGTCACGCACCCTTGTGTCTCACCCTCTCTAGTCACACCCTCTACTCTCGCCCTCTCTAGTCACACACCCTCTATTCTCTCCCTCACTCTTTCTCCCAATACCCCTGTCTATCCCTCCTCTCTTCTCTATGCGTGGTCTCGAGGCAGCAGCACCTTAAGGCCTGCACAACGAAGCATCATCTTCCCCCCCGCCTCTTGACGTCCTTTCACCCTGAAGCTGCCCACCCGCTCTCCTCACACACAACCCTGTGTCCCACCCTCGCTGTCTCTCCTCGCCTCTCCGCGCCATGCGTGCAGGGCTGGAGGCAGCGCTGCAGGGGCTGCCCAGGGAGGCGTCGGCGTCGGTGGCGCTGATGGCGCTGGACGTGGTGGACCCCGACGCCACCCCGCCCGCGACCCCCGCTGCGCCCGCTGGAGCCACAGGATCAGGAGGTGCAGACGCCGCAGGAGCAGCGGAAGGAGAGGTAGGGGCAACAGAAGAGGGAGGGGCAGCAGGGGCAGGGGGCAAGCAGGAACCGGCAGGCGCGTCAGGAGAATCCCTGGATCTGCCTTCAGACGCCCCTGCAGCAACGGCCCCGGCACTGGGAACGACTGCTGGAGAAGTAGCTGCAGGCGCCACCTCCATGGGTTCATCTGGAGCGGGCGCATCTGGGGCGGGCGCATCTGGGGCGGGCGCATCTGGGGCAGGCGCATCTGGGGCGGGGTCATTTGCGACTGGCGTGCGCCCCATCCTGCACGAGGGCAGGCCGTTGCTGCCCGCCCTGAAACGCGAGATCTGGGAGAAGCCTCCCGTGGGCAGCGCGGTGCCTGCGAGAGCCGAGTTCGCCCTGCGGCGTGAGATGGTGGAGCACCGGCAGCGCGAGGGCGTGGTGGTGGTGACGTTCGCCAACCACGCGTTTCTGGACTTTGTTCTCAACTGGGTGCGCCACCTCACCGACCTGGGCGTCCACAACATCCTCGTCGGTCCGTCCCTCACTGCCTGCTGCCCACCTGCCTTGCTGCCTTGCTTGCCGGCTTGCTTGCTGCGTGGATTGCAGTGGACTGCATGTTTCTCAGCTCTGGCGAGCTCACCCCAACCGTCCAGAAGTCAACTGTCCTGCCTTGTGCCTACATTCGCCCACCAGGTGCCATTCACACCAAAGTCCTGAAGGGGCATGGTCGACGGACGACCCGGGGTGGGGAACGGCAGTGGTCGGTCGGTCGGTGCCATGGGGAGCAGGAAATGGCTTACCGCCCCCGATGCCCTCCTCCTCTCATGCACATACCTCTCCTGCATCAGGCGCTATGGCCATGACATTCCTGACACTGACAGCCCTGTACTGGTAGAGCGTGCCGGTGTTTGACTTGGATTGTGCACCTTGACCACACATGAAGCAGCATCCCCTGTTCTCACTTGCCTCCTGCTGCCTGCATCCCCTCTTCTCACTCCTCAGGTGCCATGGACGTGCAGTTCCTGGAGGCGCTGTACTGGGAGGGCGTGCCGGTGTTTGACCTGGAGAGCGGCATGACGTCGGACGACCCGGGGTGGGGCACGCCGGTGTTCCACGCCATGGGGCGCGAGAAGGTCACGCTCATCAACGTCTTCCTCTCGCTGGACGTGCAGCTGCTCATCTGCGACACCGACACCGTCTGGCTCAGAGTGAGGGCTACGTTGGAAAACAAGCTACAGAAATACGTACGCTGCGTTTCTTGTGTGAATACGCCGAAGAAATACACAGACCGGAAAAAAGAAATATATATATATATATATATTTACATATATATATAAAGAAAGAAAGAAAAAAAAAAGCAGCTGGGTTGGAGCTCGCGACATGGGGAACAGAAATTTGGTCATTGCACATCGCGATCTCAACTTCGAAACTGAGTTTCGAATCAGATTTACTGCATGCCGTTGTGCAACCCACTCAACCCCATTCAATTCCAATTCCTTCCAACTGAATGTCGAGTGGAGGAGTTGGATTCAACCAGACTCATCTCTCCTAGCAGAAATGCAGCTCATTTCTCCGTTCAATTTTTATCCTTTGGATTTTTACACCCCGTTCCTACCAACCTCATTCTTATCAACGAGTATGGCTAGACTGTAGGCACCAACTTCGTGCTTTGCACCTCGCCCATCCCCCCCTCTGAAGCTAACAAACTGCCCACGGGAATAATTTATGTGCCCGGGCCTGTGAATTCACTGCGTATCGGACCCCTCCCAAAAAGCGTTCGGTATTTATACACTATCGGATAAAACGCTAGCTAGCATATATTCCAACTTAGGGTGAGGGGGTCTTTGTTGTGTGCACCTGTGTGTGGGGGGCCAGCTTGGACTGGCCAGGGGTAGAGGGCGGGCGTGCACCTCCTCGTGTGTCACACCGACACGTGTGGCTGCGAGTGAGGGGGGTCCTGCTTGTGTGTGGCACGTGAATGTATGAGTCAGTCGTTTTCCCCCATTCTCACGTCCCAACTCTCAGAATCGTTTACCCCCACAACCTTTCAGAATCCCCTCCCCTGCATGGCTTGCTACCCCCAAGCGGACGTCTTGACTTGTATCCTGCGGTTGTATCACAACGCGCTGCCCTACATGCTTCACAATCCCCAAGCGCATATGTTGACTTCTCCCAACCAGATGTGTTCACTTCTCTCCTCGGCTTTCCCCCCTCACTCCTTCCCGCCTCCCCATCTGCTCTGCCTCGCAGAACCCGCTGCCCTACATGGCGCGATACCCCCAGGCGGACGTGCTGACGTCATCGGACCATCTCGTGCGCTCCGTGGACGACGAGTCCCTGGAGCACTGGGACCGCGGTGAGTGGAGCACTGGGACCGCGGTGAGTGGAGCACTGGGACCGCGGTGAGTGGAGCACTGGGACCGCGGTGAGTGGAGCACTGGGACCGCGGTGAGTGGAGCACTGGGACCGCGGTGAGTGGAGCACTGGGACCGCGGTGAGTGGAGCACTGGGACCGCGGTGAGTGGAGCACTGGGACCGCGGTGAGTGGAGCACTGGGACCGCGGTGAGTGGAGCACTGGGACCGTGGTGAGTGGAGCACTGGGACCGCGGTGAGTGGAGCACTGGGACCGCGGTGAGTGGAGCACTGGGACCGCGGTGAGTGGAGCACTGGGACCGCGGTGAGTGGAGCACTGGGACCGCGGTGAGTGGAGCACTGGGACCGCGGTGAGTGGAGCACTGGGACCGCGGTGAGTGGAGCACTGGGACCGCGGTGAGTGGAGCACTGGGACCGCGGTGAGTGGAGCACTGGGACCGCGGTGAGTGGAGCACTGGGACCGCGGTGAGTGGAGCACTGGGACCGCGGTGAGTGGAGCACTGGGACCGCGGTGAGTGGAGCACTGGAGCATTGTGCCCCACAGACCCGGCAAGGCAGTCAGTGCCTCATCTTTGCAGTTCTGACCTTGCCCTTTGTTCTTCACACTCGCCCTCAATCCACCCATCCCAGCCCAGCGCGCGGAGAACATCAGCGTCCCGCACTTCTGTTCTGTCCCACAGGCATCGGTTAGTGTCTCACCTTTATTTCTCTGCCCTTCTTCTCTCTCCCCCCCCCCCCCCCCCTTCCCCCCCCTCCTCCCCTTCTCCCCTCGTCGCGCCCATAGCCCAGGGCGCGTACAACATCGGCATTCTGCACTTCCGCCCCACGGACCCGGCGAAGCGCTTCGCACGGGCGTGGGCGGAGCAGCTGGCGGCGGACGCCAAGGTGTGGGACCAGAACGGCTTCAACGACCTCATGCGGCAGAAGCTCGGCCCCGACGTCAACCCCGACGCGCACGACAACGTCTTCTGGGCCTTCGACGGCTCGCTCAAACTCGGCATCCTGCCCGTCGCGCTCTTCTGCTCCGGCCACACCTACTTCGTGCAGGTGACGCACGCGCATGACTGCATTGACTTTAGGCTTGAGTTTGACTTGGGTGGACTTGAGTTTGACTTGGGTCTTTTCTGAGGCTGCGATGCTAACTGGTAGTGCTGTCCGGCTCTCGCCACAGCCTGGGGATACTGCCCGTCGCACTCACCTGCTCTGCTCTGCCCACACCTGCTTTGAGCACGTGAGGCTGTGGCAAGGCAGGGCAGGAGCCCTACGCCATGCATCCAGCTCTCTCTCTTCCCTCTTCCTCCTGCATCTCCCCCCCCCGTCCACCCCACCAGCACCGGTACCACAAGGGGGGCTGGACGGTTCAGTCTGAACCCTTCCACCATGCATCACACTCTCGCACTTCCCTTGCCCCCTTGCCCTTGCCCTTTCCCCCCCACCCCACCCCCTCTGCCCCCCACCCACCCGTCCCCCCGTCCACGCCACCAGCACCTGTATCGCAAGGTGGGGTTGGAGCCTTACGCGATGCACGCCACGTTCCAGTTCGCCGGCACCAACGGCAAGCGCCACCGCTTCCGCGAGGCCATGGCGTTCATCGACCCGCCGCAGTACTACGACCCTCCAGGTACCGTGGACTGGTTGGTTCATGCCATCACGACATGGCTCGTAAAGGGGACACACCGGCGCATGCAAAGCGGCAAGCGGCATCGGTTCAGAGAGAGCGTGGCGTTCATTGACCCTCCCGAGTTCTAGGACCCGCCAGGTGGGGTGCTGAGGATCTAAATAGTGGGCTAGTTAACAGTAAGGAGAGTGCGTATAAGTGGGTGAGGCACGCACATGGCAAGCAGAGGGACAGCACGAGGCATTGCTTGAGAAAAACTGTGGCGTTGATTGCCAGAGTAGTGCAATCCGCCAGTCACATGGCTTTAACTTGGTTTGTACACGTCCGGTCCTGCTTCGTTATGCTGCTTTCATTCGGTCGGGCCCCAACGACTCCACTGCCGCCCGCCCCACATGCTGCGTGCGTGGCGTGTTGTGCCAGGTGGCGTGCTGTCATTCGTGAACAACATCCCGGAGGAGCTGCTGACAGGGGGCGACCACTCCCTGCAGACGCACTTCAACCTCGTCAACTACCAGGACAGCTCCCTGCCAGGTCAGCTTCCTGACAGGTCAGCTCCCTGCCAGGAGCTCCCTGACAGGTCAGCTCCCTGACAGGTCAGCTCCCTGCCAGGTCAGCTCCCTGCCAGGTCAGCTCCCTGACAGGTCAGCTCGCTGCCAGGTCAGCTCCCTGCCAGGTCAGCTCCCTGCCAGGTTAGCTCCTTGCCAGGTCAGCTCCCTGCCAGGTCAGCTCCCTGCCAGGTCAGCTTCCTGACAGGTCAGCTCCCTGCCAGGTCAGCTCCCTGACAGGTCAGCTCCCTGACAGGTCAGCTCCCTGCCAGGTCAGCTCCCTGACAGGTCAGCTCGCTGCCAGGTCAGCTCCCTGCCAGGTCAGCTCCCTGCCAGGTCAGCTCCCTGCCAGGTCAGCTCCCTGCCAGGTCAGCTCCCTGCCAGGTCAGCTCCCTGCCAGGTCAGCTCCCTGCCAGGTCAGCTCCCTGCCAGGTCAGCTCCCTGCCAGGTCAGCTCCCTGCCAGGTCAGCTCCCTGCCAGGTCAGCTTCCTGACAGGTCAGCTCCCTGCCAGGTCAGCTCCCTGACAGGTCAGCTCCCTGACAGGTCAGCTCCCTGCCAGGTCAGCTCCCTGACAGGTCAGCTCGCTGCCAGGTCAGCTCGCTGCCAGGTCAGCTCCCTGCCAGGTCAGCTCCCTGCCAGGTCAGCTCCCTGCCAGGTCAGCTCCCTGCCAGGTCAGCTCCCTGCCGGGTCAGCTCCCTTTCAGCCCAGTCATCCAGGTAAACCAGTACTAGACAAGTAGCGGAGCAGCAGGAGTCAACCCGGTCAACCTGGTCAACGTGGGCAACCCGGTCAACCTCTAGGCTATGCTACTTCATTTTTCTCACATGCTGCCACGTGTCATTTCAAGCGTGTGAAAAGTCCCTCATCTGTCGTCTTCTGCCCTCCACGCATACGACTATCAGCATCCTTCTCTGGCGAGTTTCATGCCATCATGATTCCTGGGCTCGACTTGCCTCAAGTCATTGAATGACGTCCCTCGTCTGTGCTTCCTCTCCTCCGTGCATCCATCGTGCAGCTCGTCAATCTTAGATCAGCGCTCGCCATCGCCACAATACTCAATAGAACACTTGTAAGTCTTGCCTCTCTCACCCGCTCTGCCAATTTCTCGCAAGCAAACTACTTAGGCCATCGGTGCCTGCCATGGGAATGGCCACTTGCTTCACCATGCATGCAATGGAAGCACCTGCTCTGCTCTGCGCTGCACTGCACTGCGCATGCATGTCTTGAAGCGCGCGGGCACGACATCTTGGAACCGATTGATTCCCCCATCCACAACACCTGCGCCCTTCTCCCCCCACTGCAGGTGCTGGCTGCCATGTGGGTGCGGTACGACCGCATCTGGTTCCCCCACCCGGGGATACTAGACGGCACCGACACGCCGCAGCCGTTCCTGGCGCCAGTGGACCACGTGGTGGAGGTGCAGAAGATGCTGCCCGGCAACCTCAAGGAGGACGAATTCGGGCCTGCTGTGCCCATTCGCGAGTACTCGTTCCTCGACAACCCCCGCACCCCACAGGCGGTGAGTGCGGTGCTGTCGCTCGGCACAATCCAACACACACGCCCCAGCCGTTGCTATCCCCCGTAGATCATGTGGTGGAGGTGCAGCGCATGCTGCTAAGCTGGCAAGTTTCAAGAGGGCGAGTCAGCAACGCCAAATCCCTCCCTCACCCCTATGGAGAATCACTCTACAACAGTGGGAGCTAGACTACGCAGTTGGCACAGTTTTTGAGTGAACGTAGCTTTGACTGCGCTTTCTAACACTTGCACATTCACGAAAAGATTTGGCAAGCACTACATCAGAGCCTAGCAACCTAGCAAACAGGCAAGTCGATCGCGAGTGCACTGCCAACACTACAAGTCGACGGCGCTCCAGCGCTGCAGAGTTGCGGCCTGCCAACGTAGCAAGTCGGCGGCTTGCCAGCGCTACACCAAGGCGTCTTGTCAACGCTGTGGCAGAGCGGCTTGCTATCATTGCAACCACAGATGACAGTAGCGCACATGCGCGCACCTACTTTGCAGGTGCTTGTAGACAGCTGGTTGCTGCGACGTGCACCGTCACGTGAACACGCAAGTACCCAGTCGGCCACGTGTCATTGGCTGTGCCTGATGAGCCACATCGACCTCGGGATACCAGCCCGAAGTGGGCTTCACCAGAATCTCCTAGGCGACGGTCGCGCACCCTGCAGGACTTCGTCGCCCTGGTTAATTGGTCAACGGGGAAACCACCAAGTCGGCGTCGACTTGGACGATAGGAGCCCGCCAACTGCTGTACGTGCCCCTCAACCAACCCAGGTCGACTCCCGCCGACTTCACCAGGTCGGCCACTCCGTAGGTCGACGAACGGTCTGCCGACTCCTCCAAGTCTGCGTCGCCATGTCGGCGCCTACGAGTCGGCGCCCCTCCTAGGTCGACGAGCCCCTTCGTCGACCACCAGGTTGAAGTCGGCCGCCGGTTCCCGTCGTCGGCGGTTTCGCAGTGGTCCCGTGCAGGCCGACAAATTCCGTCGACATGCTCGCCCAACTTGGCGTCGCCCACTGCAGACGGTCGGCTGCACCTCTCGCCCACCCGACCACGAAGTCGGCTCCGCCCAAGCGAGGACGGGGCCAACTCCCGTTAATGACCCCTCCTTCCTTTCAAACCATGCCAGGCGCTCCCTGCCTCTCTCATCGCTTCCCCTCTCCCACATCCCTCCCCAATGCCACCATGCCGTAGGTGCTCAAGTCAAAGCTGTCTGTGCAGCTGTGTGACGAGGGCTCCCCCGACTGTCCCAGCACGCCCGATGGTCCCACCGACACCATTCGAATTAAAAAGAACTCCCGGCAGAATGAGGTGGGTTGGGATGGGAAGTGGGAGGGCGGGTGGGATGGTAGGGAAGCTAACGTTCGAGTCCTTCATCTGGTGGAGTTGCAAGACCCGAATCAAGAAGTAGGCATGGCACAACTACCTAGAGCACGGCCCGTCCCCACTTCACTAACTGAGTTTGAGTTGACTGGCAAGTATTGAGAGAGAGCCAAGATGGCAGAGCATCAGGCAGAACGAGGTGGTTAGATTGAAATGGTTGGGTGGGAAATGGAAGACGGCTGACTGGGTGGCAATCCATGCTTCATTTCGGAATGGCAGGTATGCTGACGTGCTGTGACGTGCTGCCAAGCCACTCTTTCATTTCCCTGCGTGGATCTTCTCGTCTCATCTTCCACTCCACCTCCTACCAACGCACACACTCTTCTCCTTCCCTTCCGCATCCCCTCACCCCGTTCCACTTATCGCCCCTGCAGCTCAAGGCAGTGCTGTCCCGTTACTCAAACATCAAGTGGATCGAGCTCTCTTCTATGGTTGACTCCTTTGGAGGCTGGGACGACAAAGTGAGAAAACTGTCCCCTTCGCCTCTCCCTGTTTCCTCTCCTTTTCCCGTCTTCTCGTGCCCTCTGTCCTTCGCGCCTCCTTATTTTCCAAATCTACCGTATCATTGCTGTCGTGTGCTGCTGCATGGTATGCGCACCTACAGAAAGTTAGTGTCATGGCTGTGATGAGATCCCTATCTCGACAGCCCAAATGTTGTTGCCGTGGTACATTTTGTACTCAAATCACATCTCCGCTCCTCGATCCTCTTTGTCCTCCTCTGTGCTCCATGCGTTGCTGGGTGGGCAGGCGATGGAGAGGAAGTTCAGGTGGCGCCTGCGGCAGTACGTGGGCATCTGGTGCTGCGTCAACGCACAGCCAGGTATGGCGCACAGCCATGCAATGCCACACCTGTTGCTGCTCTGCATGCACTGACCCCACACATGATGGACGCGTTTAGCGTTCCCTGCATGTTCTGGATGCCATCCCGAACCGAAGATATGTGGTGTTTCAACTGCACCTTACATGATCTCACCATGTTCTTTCCTGCCCACTCTGTCCCCTCCAGGCCACATCTGGTGCGATTGCTTCAACAATGAAATTTCCACATGTGCCTCATCTGAGTGGAAGGCTCTGATTGTAGACCACCACGGCGTTCCCCTCTCCTTCGTGCCCTGGCTGCGTGCGTGCAGGTCACATCTGGTATGATTTCTTCAACGATGAAATCCCCGGGTGGAAGCCCAGGCCACCAGCCAATTGGACGGAGGACCACCCACCCTGGGGCAAGGACCAACCGGGTGCCTCATGACTAGCACAGGCTCTGTGGCGGCTGCTGCCCTTCTGAGTTGACTTGAGAGTTTCAAAGTCAATTAGAAGGAACACCCTCCATGGGGCAATGGCCAAGCGGGGACAAACCGTCTTGTCTGGCGCAAGCTGGGCATTGTGGCGGTTGTCTTTAAGGAGATTCGGATGTCGCAAATCGGAGAGAGAAGAGAATTCGCCTTGAGCAAGGACCAATACCAATACGGTATTAATGCTGTGTCAGGATAAATTCTTGGTTTTGATGTGTTGCTGTACCCACTGGGTTCTCGTTATCAGACGATATTGGCCTGCTGGTCTGCATTGCAAACACACTGATTACCGTACTACATTCAGACAAACTATCGGTATATAAGTGCATGCGCAACCTGCGCAACACGATTGCAACCTGCACTGTATCCAGGCCAGGGCCATACAGCATTTCGTGAAACTCTCTCTGCGGCGTCCGAGAACAAAACAAGACAGAGAGCCGTACTTACTCCATCTGTTGCTGAAGATGATACCGTGGATTTTCTCTATACTAAAGTCAAGTTTAGTTACAATGAATAAACACCTTGGAAAATCGCGGAAAATAAGAGTATAGGGTAGCTTTAAGAATGTTTAAGACGAGGTTGAGGAAGCAGCCACAGCCTCTTTCTTCTCGGCACCAGACGTGGCTGCAGGAGCAGCCTGTGCTGATGAGGCGGGTGTGGGCAGCCCCACCAGCTCCTGCATTGGCTTCCAGTAGAACTTGCGCCTGCACACGCACACCCACCCAACAAGCATCACATTCAGAGCTGCATACGTGGATGCAGCTTCGGAATACATGCCTTTCAGCAATGTATAGAATTGCTGTGCTGCATTTGGTACAGGAAATCGAGTGTGATGTGTTGCTCTTGCTCCAGGGATGATGCAGTTGTGTCCATTTTAATGTGCATGCATTGATTCAGGGAAGTGTGGCAGCGTGTGAGCAAAGACAGGGAGGGGAGCACTCACGAGTAGCCCATCTCCACCACCACCTTCACGTTGGGCCGCAGCGCCGGCAGCAGTGTGAGGAACTGCAGCTCGTTCTTCGCCAGCACCTGCATGCACGCATGCACACGTGCCAGGCAACACCACGACCCATCAGCGCACCGCCTCGCCAAGTGACTTTGTCAGCACATGCACAGGAAACGCGTGAAAGAGAGGCCATTGCAAAGGGCGTGCTAGTCTGGGGCTGAGGAGCACCACCCGACCCTCAACGCCTTGCGGACAGCTTTCCATGCCAATGCGTTTGCCCTCGCCACTGCAGCTGTGGCACGAGCAGAGGCGCATGAAATAGAGACTGTACCCCGTGAACCAGGGAACAAGAGCCCCGCACACAAGTGAAAACAGCAAAGAACGCCCTTGTCGCTGCTCTGAGAGGCACCCATCCCCGCGTCCCATTTCTCAGCGGCCACCTCAGCACAATCCCACACCATTTCCAGCACCAGTGCTCGACTGCCGCACACCATTGCGCGAGTGCCTCACAGCACCCACGGACGGCACAGTATGGGGCTTCAGCGCCGCTCGTCAGCACCGCACGTCAGCACCGTACGTCAGCACCGTACGTCAGCACCGTACGTCAGCACCGCATGTCAGCACCGCGTGTCAGCGCCGCTCGTCAGCACCGCACGTCAGCACCGCATGTCAGCGCCATGCATCCGCGCCGGCACCACTCAGCATGCGCTCATGCCCATCGGCCCTTCCCCCCAGCCCCACGGCACCCTGATGGAGCGACCCACATTGGCGTCGCGCACGCACCTTGGCCTCGCCGATCCAGAGCACGAGCCCCTTGTACTTGGGCGGCAGCACGGCCAGCCGGTAGTCCACCTCGGGCGGCAGGTAGAACCGCGCCACGGCTTGCCGGCCCAGATGCGGCTGCCCGAGCGGGAGAGGCACACGGAGGATTGGAAAGAAAGGGGGGGGCGCGAGGAAAGGGGGGGCGGGCAAAGGGGGCAAAACGCGGATAGGGAGAGAAGGCGGGAAGTGGACGAGTAAGCGGGTGAGGCCGGGCGGGGTGGCGCTGCAGTGCGACAGCTACGACACGGCGAGGCCAGTCTGCCACGCAACCACACATAATCTTACGAGCGCGCACGAAAAGAACACTCGAGGGGGAAGGATGCACAAAAACCGAAGAAACGGGCTCGCCTGTCCGGCGCAACAATGAGCAGCTACGCGTTGGTCACCATGGCAGCGCGCGAATGGCGAATGAGCCACTTGCTGTTGCGAGGGAGGCGGCAGTGCACGCGACACCGCTCTCTCTCAGCGATGCACCGCGGCTCATACAATGCAGCTGGCGGCTACGACCAACGCAACACGCGACAAGCACGCACCGGGCGAACGCCGTGGGTCTTGAGGAGGTACGCCTCGGGGTCGCCGAGGCCGCGCGCCGAGATGTTCATCATGTGGTAACCCGCGTACTTCAGACTCGACGCATACCGACCCTCCGCGCCGCCCTCCGGTGGCGAATAGAAGCCGACCGCGCCGTAGCGCTCGACGTCGTCGACCCACTGGCCGAGATCGAGGCCGATGAGATCGCCGCCGATGAAGTCATCCAGCCCGCATGTCACCACACTGCGCGACGCGCTCTGCGAGGGTAGAGCTAGTCTAGAGGTCTTGGCAGTTGCGGCCTGCGACCAGGACGTGGTCGCACGAAGGCCGCTGAATGACACGGCGTCGCATTGCAAACGCCTTGCTGATGCTGACCTGGCTGAAAGTTGACGACTGCTTGACTTTAGGCAGGCGGAGGGGCAAGGGATGGTCGCCATGGCTGTGCCTGTGGTAACTGCGATGAGAGGTGACTATTTCCCGTAGATGACGGTTTTGGTTCCTGTCCACCTTGAAACCTCTTAGTGGTGCTCTGCTCAAGTGCCGCGTGGTGGGGTGGCAGGTTGAACTGGAGAGAGTGGGTTGCCCGTGAAACGGGGGAGGAAACCGAAGGTGGACAGAAAAGCGGGAGAAGGGAGAAAAGCCCAGAAGTGATGACCACGGATTGGGGGGTAGCGTCCGACGTGGCAAGGCAGCAAGAGAAGTGGTGGGGGGCTGATCCAGACCCACTACAAATTTCCAGGCCTGTGTCTCCATTATCAGCAGTCATGAGGGTTTGCGTATACTTCTGCAAGGTATAGAAAATTCTGGGGTTTGACGATATTAATTCCCTTGTGCGAAGACGAAATGAAGTTGGCTGGCTAACTGCTGATGCCTGAAACCAGAAATTCAAAATTAAAAGAAATTGACTCTTGATTTGCGAATGCATTGCGTAAGTTTTGGGATTTTTTTTTCGGCTGAAGTACAGCATTATAATATCAAACGAGATAATAACTACTATAAGAGAAATAAATGGTCAGGTATGAACCCTTTATGGATCCCCTGAAACCACCATCGCCGGCACATCACCTTATTGATTGTGAATGATAGCGTTATCGATCAATAATTCTTTATATTGTCAGTGCTTCTTTAGGTCTGCCTTTTCCCCTTTCTCGTGCAACAGAATCGTCACAGCATCATTCGACGAGCAAGGCAACTTCAGAACCCTTCACCATCCCGTAGTAGTTACCACATCGACTAATACAGCTCCTTCGGCAAACCATCGTGAACTAGAATTTTTCCAACTACCATGCTTTTATCGCCACTAAAACATCCTCCTCCGTCCAATCCTTCATCAGGCTCGTTGCCAAGGCCTCAACCATAACAGCTCCTTCATTGAGATTCAGTCTTTTCACTCTTGCAACTGAGCCAGCAAACGCCTCCCTGAAATGCTTTGTTGCAAAAGTTAAAATTTGTCATGCATATGTATGTCATAGCTGAACATTAGCTATGAGATTAGAGTTTGGGCTTGGGCATGGCAAGAGTAACGTAATGGCAAGAGAGTTGGGAAGAAAGAGATTTTGCTGTGTGGAAATGGGGTACAAATAGAAACAAGCAAGGCAAAAGAATACACCACCGACTATTTAACCAAATAACTACACTTACTATTGATGCGGGCAATTACACTAGTATTTAACACACCCCCTTAACTGTCTCCAACATAGAGCTAGGCTACGGACGCGGGCACGAGGCTGGCTTGCTGGCCGGCTAGAACACATAAAAGACAAGAGAGTGAGACAAGAAGATGCGAAAGAAAAGTATGGTTGCCGTTGCACGGCGGCCACCTAACCCCACATTTCTCCACTGTTGGAGAAAGCAGGGAAATACGTCAGCATTCCCGAAGGTGCAGCAGTATTGCTCCAGCGACTACCGAAGCAACAACAGCAGCAGTATCACGTTAGCCCATATAGGGCACGTAGGTCAACAGTCGCAAGTCAATTGTTGCGACTGTTGACTTGACCAGGATCGAACGGTTACCAGCAAAGGAATTGCAAAAGGCGTAACTTTCCCTATAGTTACAAACGGCAACCAAGTAATTGGAAAATCGATAGCACTATATGGATATGTTATGGGTAATAAGGGAATGTATTCCACAGAGTACATGGCTAGCTACAAATTAAATATGTGTGTAATCTTTTATTTTTATCAATCTTGTCATTTATATTCACTATGCACAAGGTTCTCAAAACTATTAAGACTTCCTACACAAACTCTAGCAGACTTATCCTACCCAAAAGATCCTTATCCTAACATGGTTTGAGAGCAAGTTTGGACTATAAGATATTCTATAACATCGTTCTGCAAAACGATCTTTATTACAAACATATTACATCAAGGGTTAGCACTATGCCAGGCGCAGACTGCGGCGGAACTGGAGAGGATCAGTCAAAAAAAGCACCAATGTCACATTTGGAGTGACATTCGTGGATCTAGTGCTCATGGAGCTGCTAACCACTAACATCAACGCCTTGGAGAGCCATCATCAGCCGATGAGCATTGACGGTTCCACCTATACCCGAAGACCTCCCAATCCACAAGGACCACACTCCGAGCGATCCTTCACCTTCGACAACCGAGGAGCTCAAGGACTTGTGCAAGTTCCTCTTAAAATCACAGAACATCAACGCTCTTTGAAGGGAAGGACTTCTATGCCTGGAGCTTCGAGTTCGAGCTGCTAGCTCAAAGCGCGCAGATTTGGATGTACTATGACGCATCCCTACCTTTCCCAACCAACGGCTCACCTCAAGAGAAGACTCGGTACTATAACGTGTCACTCCTCGCGTACACCGTCCTGATCCTAAATCGGACGCCGGCGGAGTAGCTCAGCATTCGCTCCTACCAGAACAAGTGGTCGCCCGCGCAACAGTCGTGGAAACACCTGTACAGATGGCAACCGACTAAGTGACACTTAGTCATTTGTTGAACCAGCTGTACAACATCAGGATGTTCCCTGGGGAGAAAGCAGGGGCATACAACAACTGCTGCATAGTTTTGAGGGATCGGTTTAAGAAGAGCGGCGTAAAATTCCCTGACGATATGTTCGTCACCATCATTCTCGCTGGAGTCCGTACTGGAGTCACTGCAAGTCACTCCTTCGCATCCAAGGCGTGCTCAGCGAGACTTCGCTCTGCGCCTCGCTCCTCGCTGAACAACCGAAGATTGACCTGCACAACGCATTTTACACAGAAACTCTTCTGCAAGTACTACAAGAAAATGGACACACCATCAAGGAGTGCAGGAAGCGCAATGACAACAACAACGGAAACTACAGAAACTACGGACAAAGACAACAAGGAGGAGGGCCTTACCAGCAAACAACTGGACCACCAACGCTCAACCAGACAATGTCCCCAAGCACCTCACAAGCTCCGACACACATCTTTGCAAACGAAAAATGGTGCATCACAGACCTCCCCAACCCAACCACCAGTACCGTTTCTTCCGCACCTGGGAAGATTCGTTTCAAAGACCAACCTAACAAGAGACCCGGAGGATCGGCAGGGGAAGAGAAAGAAAACCCCCCCACCATTGTTGAGCTGGCAGTCGGCCGTATCCAGAACGACTAGGAAGCAGTAGCTTCAGAAATCGCCACCTGCACGCATGACACTGGACGACGAGGGATGGAGTTACGAAGACGATCATGGCATGGAGCATCATCTCACTATGAAAATCTCAAATACCGCCTAGGAAAAGAAATTTGTCAAAAAGTGGTACCTGGCTAGCTGCTGCGGTCAGCACATGGTCTCGTCCAGCAAGTTCATCCTCAAGAGCAATGGACTTTTCAACAAATAGGAGATTATGGACGCTAATAATTTATCGATCAGGGCGAAGAGTCACGAACAAATCTAACTGGAGTCAAAGGACAAAAACTTTTGCATCCACATCAGCGACGTACTTGCCATGCCGGAACTCCACTTCAATCTTCTCTCAATCGACCAGCTGATGATGTCGGTGTTCAGCTACACACAGTCGAAGAGGAATTACGTTTAATACGCGAAGGGACTCTCATCGGCAAGGCAAAAGCGAGAACGGGGTGTTTGTGTTCAATTTCGACTCACCTGGAAAGAACGGCGGCAGAGACCACATCAACGACCAAGACCGGATGGAACCTTCTATGCTCTCGCGGTGCACGTCGCATCTACCACGAACCCTGCAGACACCGGACTGTAGGCAATGGAAGAAGGAGAAGGAATTAGCGTGTCAGGAGAAAGAGGAGAGGACTCAACTGAAGGGCGAGCACAAACGTTTTGGCCAAGAGTTGAACTACCCACCGGTTGGAACACGACTGAATGATGGGACGCAGTGGATGTAGTTTGGGCAACACGTGGCACAGGATGGGGAGCACTACCCGAAGAAGCTATTGAAGCTGAAACAGGATAGGCCAACGTCACCGAAGGACCTGCAAAGGAAGAAGAACCAGATGCTACTAAAGTGGCGCGAGAAGTAGAAGAAGACGAATCGCTAACCGGACTTCACCTCATCGCGATCACAACGGACGGAAGGAGCTACCCCCACCTCGAGACAAGGGGAGTTGCAATTGGCAACACCGACTTCGAAGAAGGCGAAATCACCCTACCAGAAGGCCGTCACCGAAAAATCACACCAAGACCTCCAGAAGGACCACAACAACTTTCCATGAAGATCGACACAGCAACCATCGAAGATTCCAGCAAAGTGTATCACGGGGAAAGGCTCAAGCCCCTTCGCGCGGCAGCAGTCGAAGACCTCGTTACGGAAAAACCTATGGACAAAGCGGGAAAGGAGACCGCAGAAGAAGATTTGGCATAAAAAAAAACAACTCTACACACGCACACGAGGATATTGCGCCAACCCTAATATCTGGCATAAAAGGCTCGGACATCGGGAGCTAGTCTACGGGGTAGGCATGGTTATGAGGGTGATCTCTGCGTTCCTTAGTCGTTTGCTTGTGTTCTCTCTACCTGCTCATTCAAAGGGAAAATTGGCAAGAGTTTCACTAGCAAAGGTTCACCACAATGGTAGCAACAATGTTGGCAAGACAGACTACATCAGATGCTAGTAAGCATGCAAGTTGACTGCCAGCGCAGCACGGTCGACCGCATTCCAGTACTGCATGGTTAGCCGTGCTCCAGTAGAGCAAAACGCGGTCTGCCAACGCTGCATCAAGGTGGGTGCACAGCGTTGCACCCACAGGACAGTAGCGCACTCGCTTCGCAGGTGCTCTTAAAATATTAGCGTGCTGTGCCTCGTCACCTGCACAGCGTAGGCACCAAGCCGTCTATGTGCTGATGACTGCACCTTATCTTCCACGTCGGCCCCAGGATACCACCACCGAGGTCGGCCTCGCCAGAACCACTTGGGCGTCTGCCGCACTCCTCCGCAAACCTCGTCGCTCTAGTAACCTGGTCGACCGGGCAACCAC